GGGTGGGCAGGGGTTAGCTCCGACGCTGTTCTCTCTTCCGTCTTCCTGCTCTGTGATTATCAGCTCCAATCCTTACAACTTGATGTTGATTTTTAGCTGAGATTGTCCATAGGTCATCATCAGAAGTCAGCTATGTGGTAGGAGAGTGTGATAAACTCTCCGTTTCTAGCCCTAACAACACCCTTAAGTTCTCTTAGCCTGTTTCCTCACAATAAAATGAGCGTAATAATACCTGCCTTACCTAGTCATAGGGTAATAGAAGGATTGAGTGGCATAATTTGTGTGAAAGGAATTTGTAAACTGTAAAAAGCCATGCATTGTTTTTCTTACACTGACATTTTCTATTTTATTACCTTAGCCTATTTTAATTACTTTTCTTTCTGTACTTCTGGGGATTTTTACTTCTGAGATCATCTTTTTAGGTCGTGACCACGTGGTCTTTTCATTTTAATTTCTTCATTTCTAACCCTGTACTCTGTTCTTTTTGTCCTGCACCATGTTACCCCACCTCTTTCACCAGATTAATCTGTTCTTTCTCTTCCACCTAGTCGAATTTGGACTTTGGGCACCTGACTCAATTTGCTGATTTTTGGACCTCTTTTCACCTCATTAATTATTTCATTTATTAAATAAGAAAGCGGTTCTGAGTCTTTACAGCTTTAACATTGTTAGAGATACAGTTGACTCTTGAACAATGTGGGGTAAGAGGAGTTGAAAATCCATGTATAACTTTTGATTCCCCTAAAACTTAGAGTCCCTTACTAGGTCTAGATTCCTTATACACATTTCGGGTAACTGAAAATTTCTATTGTGCATTTGAAGCAGCATAGAGTCCTGGGTCTAAGACTAGAAGAACAAAGACTTCACTTAAATCCCTGTTCCATCACTGATTTGATCTTGGCCTTGAGCAAGTTATTACTGCTTTGACTCACTGTTGCCTTTGGATAGTATGTAGTACCTTCTGTGTCAACCTCAAAATCTTGTTTCAGAGTCAGATATACTGAATGTGAATTCATTAAAGGTAGAATAGTCTGTTTCAATGCCATTATTTATAATTATTGTCATTAACAGGGTCAGAATTCCACATTTGCCCTATGTACTGCCCAACAGAATGGAGTCTGATTGGTGTCATGATAATGAAGGCCTTTTTAGGTCCAGAAAATGTTGTTAGGATGTATGTTGAATGAGAGACTGGAGCCTAGATCCTGAAAAAAAGCAAGCATTGGTCATTTGTTTTGGGGAAGGGAAGAGAAATGTTGGGCCTTTATAAACCTTGAGAAGGTAAAAATCTCTGGAATATGTATGTCATTTGACCCAGCAGTTCTGTTTCTGGGAATTTACCCTTAGGTATTCTCTTATGTATGCAGTATGGTATGTGTTACAAGGTTATTTTAGCATGGTTTGTAGTAGCAAATGTTAGAAACAACCTGTGTTCATCAGGAAGGGACAGGTTAAATAAATTATGGTCCGTCCAATAATGAAATACTCTATAGCTATAAAAAATGAGTGAAGAAGCACTAATCTTTAAGAAAATATTCCTAAGTAGTAGTTCAAGTACAGTGCTAGAATATGCTACCTTTTGTGTAAAAGTAGAGACAAATAAGAATAGATCTTTATTCTTTCTTGTGTATGCATAAAGAAATTCTGGAAGGGTATTTTAGAAACTAACAGTGTTTACCTGGGGGTAGGATGTGGTCTGGGGGTAGATGAGAAACTTTTAACTCTTTGTGTGTATATTTATTTATTTTTACTTTTTGAACCATGTAAACATAATACTTAAAAATTAAAAGGTTTTTTGTTTTGTTTTGGGTTTTTTAAAGGAAAAAAACAACCTTTGTGATTTGAGGGCAACTGGAGTTGTAGAAGGCATACTCGAATAGTTCATGCATTATGACTAGTTCATTTGGGTAATAGAACCATTTGTTTCTTTTAGGTTTGTGGTCAAGGTTTAAAAAGAAATGCTTTAAACTCATCAGGAAGATGCCTATTATTGGTCGCAAGGTAAGTGGAATCTGTATAGATCTTCCTCCCCTTCCCACCCCCATGGTCATACCTCTTTCTTTTTATGTCCCCTACCTCCAAGGAACATTTGACAGTGTTTGGAGACATCTTTGGTTGTCACAGCTGGAGGGGAATGCTATTGGCATTTAGTGGATAGTGGCCAGGGATGCTGCTAAACATTCCACAGTGCACAGGACAGTCCCCTCCCCCTCCCCCAACACACACAACAGAGAATTATTGGCTCAACATGTCAGAAGCTCCAAGATTGAGAAACCTGACTTAACCTTTTCTGTAACATAGGTGACCGAAGGAGAAAGGAGATGTCTGTCAAGAATTTGAAATTAGAAAACTTGACAGAAGTGACATGATGCTTTGGAACAATATTTGGCTGGGCTGATTTTAGATATTTATGTAGGGGTTGGGTGCTTACATGGTTCAGATCAGGGTTGGCAAACTTTCTGTGAAGGATTGGATGTGAAACATTATAGACTTTGCAGACCATCCCATGTCTGTCAGAACTCCTCAACTCTGCCCTGATAGAGGGAATGCAGCAATAGGATCATAGGTAGAGGGATGAACCTGGCTGGGCTCCAGGGAACCTTTCTTTACAGAAATAGGCGTGGGCCAGGTTTGGGTTGTAGTTTGCTGATCCCAGGTTTAGGAACTTAGATAACAGAGCTATTGTCCTGCTCTTTGTACCTATCCATAGTCTAGTATGTTCCCTTCACTGTATCTTCTCTGCCCTCACCCACTCTGAGGATAAGATCGTCACCTCTGTACCCTTCCCACAGGCCCTTTATCACAGATGAAGATAAGCAGGACAGGCCCCATTGCAGGCTTTAAGGCAGGCAAACAAGTTCTTGATGTCTTCATATCCCCCAGCACCCTGCCCTTCACTCCTTCCTTTTACTTTTGGCTTTCAGTTACCTTTCCTGCCAGACCAGCAAAGATTTGAGTTATCTTTAGCCTTTGACTGAAACCCATTCAGAGCACTGTATAAATTCTCCCAAACTATGTCATATCAAGCTCATTTCCTGTGGAGAAGTAGAAGTAATTATTGGAATGGAGATGGGGCATAAGAGTAGATAGGTAAGGCTTTCTTGTGACCTCAAATTATATTAAGCCCCCAAATTAAATCTACTTTGGTCCTTATAGAATAAGGGTAGGGAAGAGAATGGATGGACTGGCTCACAGAGGATAATAGCATTTCCTCTTACAGTCCCTGTAGTTTTTCTGCCCTTATGCTTCATGCTTTTCTCTTTCAATTTCAGATTTTGAGATAATGCTAGGGTTTCAGAACCCATTCCTTTCTTTTCTTAATCCTCACCTGAGGATGTTTTTTCCATTGCTTTTCAGGGAGAGTGGGGAGGGAGAGAGAGAAACATCAATGTGAGAGAGACACATTGATTGGTTGCCTCCCGCAGGTGCCCCGACTGGGGCCGGGGATCGAGCCTATAACCGAGGTTCATGCCCCTGACCAGGAATGGAACCCGGGACCCTTCAGTCCATGGGCTGACACTGTAACCACTGAGCCAAACCAGCCAGGGCAGAACCCATTCTTAAATTTATAAACTAACAGAATTGGAAGGGACTTAGAAACTATATAATTAATCACCTTTCATATTTTAGAAACAGATTTTGAGGCTCAGAGACAAGAAGTTATTTGTTTTGAGTGAACATTTTTGTATCCATCTCATTGATTCACTTACGTTCACTTACTGAGCACATGCTTAGTGTCAGGTACTATCCTGGGTGCTGGGGATATAGTAGTGAATAAGACCAAGTCTTTCCTCTGTGGAACTTATATGTCAGTAGGAAAGACAAAGAAGTAAACAAATATATAAAATTTCTTTTTGAAATAGATGGTGTGAAGAAATTAAAATGTGATAGTGGTTCTGAGGCAAGAATTAGGGGTGGGAAGCACTTGCTTTGCTTTCTAAGATAACTCTCAACATCACTTTTTGTCTGTTTTATGTTATTATAACAGCGTAGTTTGTGCATGGAAGTTACACTTCCATAGTTTGTTCCTGTTGCACGGTCGCCACTTATGCAGTGTAATTTTTTATTTACAACTTAAATATTATCTTCATGTTCATCACATGCCCTGGCATTGCCCAAGAATGTGGTCTCTCGTACCTGCCAGTGCCTGACTGATAGAGTGCTGTAGACATGTTTTAAAGGAGTGGCTTTCCCTGTGCCTTCACTGAGGGCCACATCTAAGAAGATCCTCTTGGATTCTAGTCATCCACAGCTCGAGATGAGAGAATTTGAGCGTTTGGATTGAGAGCGTGGGCATCTTGCTGAAACCACATCACTGTAACACACAAACTGTAGCCACTCATCCCTAAACCTACCACCCACGCATCTCTTATCACAGATAGCAGCCCCTGCCATTCTACCTCCTTACTCTGCTCCCCCCATCCCCCATCCGGCCCTAGCACTTTACATTACCTGACTTCTGTTTTCTGTCTCTGCTGCAACAAATAAGCTTCATGGAAACAGGATTGTTCTTCACTGTGTAACGACTCTGTTTGTTTTGTTCACTGTGTGTTCCTGGCCCATAGTAGTAGTTTAACAAATATTTATTGAGTGGGTGAATGAGTAAAAGAAAATGTCCCAGAAACTATCGCCATGAGGACGGAAAATAAATAACCGTAGTTATTTCTAAGTGAAATAGCAGAACGTACTTTTAACTCCTCCTGGCACTTAAGGGTCAAACAGTACAAGCTGTTAATAGCCTGAGGAGATAGGATGCAGTGTTCCTGGCACTTCCCAGGATGTCACAAGCTAAAATGGGGGGGCGTTGTGCAGGGCCTCCAGATTCCTCCCACACTCTGTACATGTGTTTTGAAGGAGCTCATCACTTGGCACAAGCACCAGAATCCCTTTTACTGCTGCTTGCCCTTTTTCTGGCGACTGTTTGACTGTTAGCGGCTCTACCTTTGTGTTTTTAGTGGCTACACTGTAGCTGCTGCCAGGGCAAGAACAAGGTCCAAATATTGCCCTCAAAGAAGTGCTGATATTAGCAGATGCAAACCAAGTAAAGCAGTGGTGATGCTGACATGGCAGAGGAAGGGGGGGTAGATCGAGTGCATTTTGACCTTAAGAGAGAAAGTTGACTTTTCAGACTTCTAAGAAAGTGTTGCACATGCTAGAAAATAGTTGCACAAACTGTCACCATATCTGTTTAAGAATAAATACCCTCCCTTTTCTGTATTTATGTGGTGCCCAGCCTTTGGCAGTTGACCTGGTGTCATAACTTTTTCTTCTATTCCCTGTACTGTGTTCTTCCATCTCCTTGTTAATGCTGTCTTTCTTACCTTTGGAGATCCAAGATGAGTTGAACAAGGCCAAGGATGATATTAGCAAGAACATGTCATTTCTGAAAGTGGACAAAGACTATGTGAAAGTTCTGCCATCTCAAGGTCTGAGCTCGTCTGCAGTTCTGGAGAAGCTCAAGGAGTACAGCTCTATGGGTATGGTTCTTGACAAATGCATGCTACCTACTTCAGGAACCTGGCTGGGGTGGTCAGTTAATGTTTGTGAAGGTTAGAACAGTTCATCCCTGGTACTTAACACTCTCAGGAGGGCCCACTCCCTTTCTCAAACATTGACTTTCATATTTTAAAAATTAGATTTATCCTTCATCCATAAAAGAAACAAATCTCAGAGATAGTGGAACTTGGTTCTGTTTCCTTTTGTAAACCTGAATAAAACAGATATATTTGTTCTTTAAAAAGGTAATAAGTGTAATAAAAATGAAATACAGACCCATTATAGAAATTGCAAAATCTTTGTAAAGGCAAAAAAGAAAATAAAAAGCCACTATAATTCCTTCATTAAAAGATAAACACAGATTATATATATATATCAGAATGTTAATAAAGTTTTTATGTAATAGACACACACACGTATATACGTGCATGAGAAAGGGTAAATGTGCCAAGTACAAGTAGCTTCATGTTTAAGAGTACAGACCATGGAATCAGCCTGGATTCACACCCTGGTTTGACCTCTTAAGGTGTTACCTTGGGTGAGTTACTTCACTTCTCTGTGCTTCAAATTGCCTCTCTTTATAATGGGCATAATAATAATAATACTTAAAAGGATGATTATAGAGACTGAATGAGATCATACATGTAAATGTATAATACCTGGCATTATAGTAAGTGCTCAATAAATGTTAATTATTATGAACATAAATGCATGTTTGTTACAGTTTAAAGTCATATTATGGATACCTTTTAAAAGTAGAAATTTTAATTTGGCATAATTTCACATTTATAGAAAATTTGCAAAGATAATACAGAGATTTCCTATATATCCCTTACCCAGCTTCTCCTGATTTTAACATTTAAAATAACATTTATCAAAACTAAAAATTTAACATTGGCACAGTTCTATTAAATGAACTATAAATTCTATTCTGATTTCACTAGTTTTTCCACTAATGTCCTTTTTTATGTTCTAGGATCCAACCCAGTATACCACATTGTATTTCAAAAAATACATTTTAAAATGTTTAATTGAAATGTGCTGAGTTTTTGACATTGGCTGGTACAAAATTAGGTACAGTTCAAGATTTATAGATGATATAAAGCTGGGATTAGCACTTTGATACCTGTGTATTAAGGATTTCTGTGACTATGAGGGCTGGTTGCTGCCACCATATTGCCTTCCCTTCCATTTTTAAGTCGCTGTCCATTGCCATACTCTATAGCAGCGGTAACAGAACAGGAAATGAAACCATGTATCCTATTTTTGAAAGCCTGGTGGCCTCAGATCTGAACACACCTGGTACAGAGCAGTGTCCTCTAACAAAAGGGGAAAGTCAAGCTGTCAGCAAGCCAGAGTTCGGCAAATTGCATGAGGTTGAGGGATTGGTCTGGATATTCACTACTCAGTCCTCTGCTCTCTTGTTAGAGCCAAGGATCTTTGCTTTGTGGAGCCCATGGCTCTAGTCTTTAATTAGTGTGTTTCTGTAATAGCTTTCTCACTACTCACTTTCAATAGGGCACAGCCATATTGTAGCAAAAGGGACCTGAGACACCCACATTAGCAGATTTGTTGGTATAACATAGAGCGTATAATGTGGAACCTCAGACAGGAAGTGGAAGGTTGGGGTCTTACCTTCTGATCAGGAACCTTTCCTGTGAGCTTCATCCCTGTGGTGGCTGTTCCTGATCCTGGATGTAGCAGAGAATGCTGCTGGAAGCAGGCTAATTTTGTGTGGGTTTTCAGACTCGTCTGAAGGAGGAGCCCCTGAGACTAAGCTATCTCATTGTGGCTCTAGTCATGGATGCAGTTCCCTGACTCGAGCCCTGATGATTGTGTACTGAAACTTCACTTTTGTGTTGCCCTTCTCTGCCAGCCCTGCTAATAACAGTTCTCACACTTCCTGTGATTAGATAGGAAGGGAAGGAAGAAAGAAGGAAGCATTGCTGAAAAAGGTCAAGCTAAGCCGTGCAGAGAACAGAAAATGAGTATATAGATGGAGGAAAATTGTTCTACTGTTGGAAGGCAGTTGGGGAGAGGACAGCATATTTACTGTACTAGGTGCTGTGGGTATCTTTCAGACTGTTGTTGATACTAATTGATGATCTTTATTTTACTGTAGTACCGCTATTGGAATTTTTTTCTTTCTTGACGTAAGGACACCTTTGGATTTCCACTCAAACTTCTTTTTTCTTTCATACTCGGGTTTCTTTGCATTTATTCTTTTTAGAATCTACCGGTCTTCCCGAAAGTTTCTGCTTACTGACCCAGTGGTGTTAACTTTCTTTGCAGATGTCTTGTGGCAAGAAGGGAGAGCCTCTGGAGCGGTGTACAGTGGGGAGGAGAAGCTCACCGAGCTCCTTGTGAAGGTGAGTGCCCTGTACTTGAGGGGAGTGCATGTGGTCTATGCCACTTCATGTCACCTCATTTGTGTCAAGTTTTGTAATATAAATGTCACTTAAGAAAAATTGGTTGTTAAAATAAAACTAAAGAAGTTTACAAAGTTTCTCCTCACCCAAACAGGTGAACATGTATAATATTGTCAAATACATCTTCAATCTGTAGTAAAGTTAAATGTTGTTTATGTTTCCAGGCTTTATTGACCCCCTGTAGAAGGCAGATTAATGGGGAAGAGGTAGCGTTTGAGCTTATTAATAATAAGACATATTTTGTTTGATAAGAAGAGACAAGGGATAGAAACTTGGTCATAATTTCCTATGCTACCTCTCAAGTCAGATGATTTGAGAATGAGCATGGTTTTACTTATAATGAAAATAATTCTCATTTTTTTGTTGACTTTAGAATTGCCTTTAGCATCTATTTCTAGTCGGATTTATTTTTGAAATCCCACTTTGTCATATAAAATTGTCATTGACTGATGGTCTCAGGTCTTTGTGTTTGATTATTATAATCATGAAACTGCTTATAGCTTACTAAATATTACAGGTTTTGCTCAGCTGTATCATGACATAATGCTCCAATCTTATTTCTTTGTTTAAAAATCCTTCAGTGGCTTCCTATCATTTGCAGAATAAAGTACAAGCTGCTTATGAGGCAGAAAATACAAGTCCTTTCATGACCCAGCTCCCCCCTAGTTTTTGCAACCACTCCTGTTACTTTCCCACGTAAACACTAAGGCCTGCCTTTTCTTTTTACAGAGGACACCTTGCTCTTATGTTGTTTGCCTTTCTCTCCTTCACTCCACCTGTTCTAAATGATGAATTCCCATTTATCTCTCAAGGTTCCACTCAGCAGATGTCTCCAGACCTCTCAGGATGTTCATTATCCCCCTCTAAGGCCCCTTACCTTCATGTGCGCACATCTGGTATTGCAGTTAGAACAGTAGTTGCTTTGTGCCAGACACTCCACTAAGTGCTTTGCATGCGTTATGTTAGTTATTTGCTTATCGCTAGAACCCTATCAGATCAGCACCTTAATTATTCCTTTTAGCATATGAGAAAACTGAGCCACAGAGAGGTTATTTATCCTGAAATTACACAGCTAGAAGTGACAGGCTAAACCTTCAAACCGAGTCTGCTTGGTGTTTTAGTCTGTGCTTTTAACCACATTTATACTTCCTCTCCTACCACACTGTAAAATAATTTATTTGCATGTCTGTCTCCTCCACTACATTTTGATCTTCTTTAGGTTGGGGAACATATATTACCATTTTTCCAGTTTCTACTGTTGTGCCTGACACCTAGAAACTTTTGTTTAGTGTATGATTCTTTGTCCTGTACAGTGTAATAGTCTCACTTCATATCTGCTCGCATTCCTTTGCAGGCTTATGGAGATTTTGCATGGAGTAATCCCCTGCATCCAGATATCTTCCCAGGACTACGCAAGATAGAGGCAGAGATTGTGAGGATAGCGTGTTCCCTTTTCAATGGGGGACCAGATTCCTGTGGATGTGTAAGTATATGCAAGTGGCATCCAGTAATCTTTTTTTTAAGCTTAAAACAATAGAATTTACTTAGAACATTTTACTTTTTTAATTACACAAGTGATATGTGATTATTGTGGAAAGATTCAGATTAACAATAATTTAAAAATACTGCTTGTAATTTTGTAATTCATAAGATATCAGCATTTTGGCATATATTCTTCTAGATATTTTTCTCGAATTTTTTACTTTGAAAAACTTTAAACTTACATAAAGTTGCTAGAGTAGTTTAAAGAACACCCTAGATTCACTAAATATATTTTGCCCTATCTGCTCTCTGCTCCTTTCTCTCCCTCCCTCCCTTTCTTCCACCCACCCCACCCAGCTTCCTACCCATTTACTTATATAATTTTGTTGAACCATCTCACAGTTTTTATGTGTTTTTTTTAAGGTGAAGAGAATCTTTTTTTTTTAAAAAAAGTTTTTACTGATTTTAGAGAGAGAAACATCAAAGTGAGAGAGAAACATTCATCAGCTGACTCCTGCAAGCCCCCTACTGGGGATGGAACCCAAAAACCTGGGCACGTGTCCTATCCAGGAATGGAATCGTTGACCTTTTGGTGCATGGGACATTTAACCAACTGAGCCACATTGGCCAGGGCTCATAGGTTTTTTTATATACTTTCTTGTTTTACTTGAGCTGGAAGTTTACTTTCTGATTTTGCTATAAATCGAATTTCATTTAGTTGGTTTAGCAATAAAGGAAGAGGGTTATATATTTAAGACACACATGTTTCAACTGTTCTTTCCATTAGACATTTGTTTGTTTTCCTAAACTTTGATTGATAACTTCTGTTTAGATTTGTTGCTACAAGCTGATACTGTCTTCTTTGAAAAAATGAAATCTCAGCTTATGCAGGATAGAGAGTTAGATTTAATGCAGTGTGCTGTAATGGTAACCTAGAGGTGCTAACCCTATCAGATACTTTTATAATTATTAGAAAGTCTGCAAATTTAATTATCAAAGAGCCCGTCCAAAGACAGTAACATTTAATAGTTACTTTTTTGTTTTTCCTAGTAAGCTGTATTGTTTTACTATTATGTTGGCACCATGGTAAATCAACATGTTCAAATATTCAGTAGCTAGCAGAACTGGTATTCATGGCATTCATTTCCCAAAGATAATTCCAAAACGTTTACAAACTGAACCAATAATGGATTCCCTTACGGTGTTTTGATGAACACAGTGCCATAGAGGGGAGATGATGATATACTTACAGTATGTAGGTATTCTCCTGTGCCCTTAGACGATGAACTTTTAAGAGACCAAAGGTTAAACCAGCACAAAACAGTTTGGCCTTACCCAGTAAAGTTGAAGATACACGTCTTATGACCCTGAAATTCTGCAACTCAGGATATATCTTAGAAAAACATAGGTATATCAGGGTAGATGTATATTCATAGCAGTATTGTTCATGATAGCTAAAATCTGGAAACAATTCAAATGTCTATCAACAGTAGAGTGATACATTGTAGGATATTATGTGTGCTTCTGTCTGTTCTGGTTGTTACTCAAAGTGATGCCCAAATTGCTCCATTTTTGGCCAGTGGGAGCTTTCTAATTTTGGCTCCTGGGCCCTTTTGTGAGACTTTGTAAGCTCCCATTCTTTTTTTTTTTTGTGGACAAAATACTTTTATTATTCCATGTTCATCTTGTACATTTATGCTCTAGACCTAGAGTCAGCCATTTGTCCAAGGAACCCTGGTTCATTTATAACTATGTAAAATATTTACATGGTTTCTAAGTCAAATTAATGAGAACAAGATAGATTTTAAAACATTGACTAGAAAAAAAAATAGAGACAAATAAATAGTACAAAAGAGAAGAAACATGAAGGATAGAGTGAGAAGGGCTAAAACAGGGTTTAAAGCAGCCAGAAAGAAAACCCACCTGTAAAGATGAAACTATTAGAACAACTGATATTCTCAATAGCAGCAGTGGCTGGGGTGGTTGGGGGTAGATGAAAAGACTGGCTGTGAGAACTGACCATTGTTGGAGCTGTGTGATCAGCTGGTTTTATTAATTCCCTGTTTAGTTGTGTCTAATCTACACTTCAATCTTCCATTGGGTTTTAAAATTTTGTTTACTGTATTTTTCATTCTCAAGAATTCTGTTTGGTTTGTTTGTTTGTTTATTTATTTATTTAATCCTTACTCAGGGACATGCTTAGAGACAGGGAGGGAAGGAGGGAGGGAAGGAGAAACATGGAAACATCAATGAGTGACCTTTTGTAGGCGCCCCAACCAGGGATCAAACCCACAACCCAGGTATGTGCCCTGCTCAGGAATCAGACCAGCAACCCTTCGGTGCACAGAAGGACATTCAACCAACTGAGCTACTCTGGCCCGGCTCTTCTGTCTGTCTGTCTGTCTGTCTGTCTGTCTGTCTGTCTGTTTGTTTGTTTGTTTTGTAAATCTGCTTGGTGGTTTTTATTGTCCCTTGGCTTGTAGTTTACTTAAGTGTTTTGTTCATAGTGACTTGATATTCCCTCCTGACGGTTCCATTGTTCATGAGCCTGCCTTTCTGTTCCTGCTGGTTTTATTCATGTCATCTTGTATTCTTACAGTTTCATTTTGTTTTTTACTGTAAACTACTCATTTTCCTGGGAGCTTAACTTTGAGGCCTAGAGTGAAGTTAGTTCTTCCAGAAAAGGTCTGTAATTACTTTGTTGTCGCTGGGGAGTTGCTGGGAAGTGCTACCATGCTGGAACCAATTGCAGTCCAGTTCTCAGCTCAGTTTTGCACTGCAGAGGTAGTGTGAGTTCAGACCACAAGCTCACATGAAAGGTGTCTCGTTAGGTCCTTACTTTTCTTTACCCAAGCAACAGGGTTGAGAAAAGCAGTTTTTCTTGCTGTCCCTTTCTGTTCCAGTGGGATTTGTTTCTTGCACCCTGCAGACTGTGGGCATAATTCCATTTTCCCCAGCCACTTCCCTTCCCGTTAACCTCCTTACTTTGGGCAGGCCTTAAATTTACCTCCTGTTCCTGAGTTGCAGAGGGAGTTTAGGTCTCTAGGGGCTGGAAGCCACCCTTAGGGTTAAAGCTGGCTTTGGCACTCGCTTATCTTGTAGGATTCTTGGTTTTGCTTTGTTTGCATATATTCTTTTATGTTAGCACAGTGGTGGATATAAAAAAAAAATGTAATGTTTGTTTTATCAGGCTTTTTAGTTGTTTCAGGTAAGAGGGTTGCCCGAGGCGTATAATCTGTATCGCTGGAAATAGAAGTTCCATAATTGTGTGTTTTTCCCACGTGAGAGACCTTTGTGTACTTGGAAAGCCTTTTTACGCCAAATGTCTCCCCCGTGTTTTTCCTAGGTTACTCGCTGTTCCTTAGAGAACATGGTTTCCAGACAGGTTGCCAGCCGTTCCCGTCATTCTCTGACTAACCAGATGGGCACAGTCCTCCAAATGGAGTGACATTGAGCTTGCAGTCTCTTTCTTATCTGGGCTCACTAAACGTACCTTAAACCTTCCCTCTAAGTCAGTCTTTATGCTCAGCGTGTTCATTTTGTTCCTTGCGGCTTCTCCGCATTTACTGGCTCTGTATTGGTGTTGTTTGGCACTTTGTCTTTAAGGTCTGCAGTCTCGTTTTGTTACTCTGGCTTCCGGCCTTTCAGCTCTTGTTTTCTTGAGCTCTTGCTCTTGTGATACCATCCTGCAGTGAGAAACAGGAGGGATTTCCTGCTGTTCCTTAGGTTTGGAGCTGGGCCTTTATTTTGCACACTACTTTTTTCTTTGTATTTGCTTGCATTGTTACCGTGCCATTTTCTTTCACCTTGGCTCATGCTCTCTAGACCTTCTATTTCTGATGCACGGTGGGTGATTTCTCATCTGAGAGTATTTGGTTGAGGCAGGGCTCAGATAAAGCTTTGTTTCACCTGTATTTCAATATATCTAGGTCTTGTCTTCTGAGAGTTTGTTGAAAGTTAATTACCAGAGTTCACACTGCCTAGTTGGAAGAGAAGAGTACCCTTTGGGCTTTGATTATTTCTTTAACCCATTCTGTATTCCTGCAGTCTTCACTTCAAAGAATCAGTCAAGGTTGTTCTCTTTCCATTTTGCTTGTATCTTCCTAGCCACCATGTTTACCCCTCTGAAGATCAGGAGAGAAAATAAGGAAAGCCCTTCCATTTGCTTCTCTGAAGATTTGGGGGTGTTAATGAAAATTCTCAGGATTTTGCTGACTCACCTGGAGAATATCCAGGGTTTAGGAGAGGGATTAGGAACTGTGTTTTGCTCTCTGCTGTGGATTGGAGGCTTGTTTCTTTTTTCCATTGCCAGTATTTGAAGTTGATTGCATCAGATTATCTCTTTTCCTTGTTTGGTTGTTGTTGCATGTTTTTACCACTTTTTTCCTTCATTCTTACAGGTATTGGGAAAGAGAAAATCTGTGAAGTAGTTAGCCTTCCATCCTAATCCAGAAGTCCAGCACTAGGGTATTTGTGTTTTGTTTTTGCTTAGGGACAATTAAGCCGTGCTTCTCTCATTATGATCTTTTTCAGTGGGTGTGTCAGGGCTCAGGAGAAGGATGGAGACTAAGGTCCCCAGTCTTTGTAACACTTAGACTTTTATAAGATAACTGATTGTCTCCGGGATTATTTGCGCTCTCCTTAGTCTCTGTCTCTCCCGAGGAGCTGCTTTTGGTGAAGAAAGTTCCAAGTTCAGAGGAGGGAAACATGAAGACAAAGCCTAAGGGTTGGGCTGTTTTTAGACTATTCCTATTTAAGGTATTAAGCTTCTCTTTTTTTGTTTTTCAGCCTTCAACTTTTTTTCCTTTTATTAACTTCGTTTGCCTCTAAATGGATGAGAGGTGACTATATACCAAAAGAAATTAGGTTGCCCAGGAAACTGGTCTTGGCTTATGCAAATATCATTAGGCCCAAACACCACCTAAAAGAAAATCTTCCCAATAGGTCATGTTCTATTCTTGTTTTCTGACATACATTTCATATATTAGAGTAAGCATTTTTATAAATGTTAAAAGAAGTTGACTAACATAACAAGTAGTTATTGAGGTCTTTACCTTCTTTCTTCACACCTAAATTTTCCTTTTCCTTTTCCTTTGGGTGCAGGGAGAGGAGGCACATGGGAGACTAGCAGCATACTTAATCACAGAATTTGGGGATCAGAAATAAGAAGAAGTAGAATTGAGTTATCCCTGCTTTTACAGTAAAAAAAACACTGGTGTTCGCTTAACAAATATAGATGTTGATTGGATTAATTATTGGACTTAAAATAGGATGTGTGAAGTGAGTAACTAGGGTTTGAAAATATTTTTGCTTATGTCATTACTTGACCTTCGTAAGAGATGAACTCCCTGGAGATTGACTTTGCTGGTCCTTTCCTGACTTTCTTCACAACTGGTTTGACTTCACATGTGACATTCTGAGGTTTTATGCTAGACCACAGGACTTGCTGATTGGCAGAGCTGACCTCAACTGTAAGCATTTTGTCTCCTCCAGCAATGAAACGCAGAGACCTACAAACAAGCGTCCTATGCCCAAATTCAGTGCATTACTTTGTGGATGATGGTCACGTGTTTCATGAAGACTTCCTGAATCAAAAAATGGCTAACTTTTCTCAGCTGATCTTCCATGTGACTCCTGACTACTGGGTTTTTTATCCAATGCTATTTTTGTCCTATATGTGGATATTATTTTAGGAAATTTCAGTAACCACCCTCCCATTCCATCTCATATTAAGCTACAATAAATACAAAAATGTAGAAACTTCTACTTCTTATCAACAGATGCTAATGGGTGACATTGGGCAAATCACTTTAGTCTCTTAGCAGCTCAGTTTTCTCACCAGTATAATGAAAAAGCTATATAAGATGATGAGTCTTTGGAAATGATAAATCTAAGAAAATATCCACCTAGCTCAGTGCAATGACTTTTCTTTTTCTGTTTGTTTGAAAATAATTCATTCTCAGATGTTATTAAAAGATAGCCGGTTGGCCTTGGCTGGTGTGCTCAGTGGTTAGAGCATTGGCCCTCGCACGAAAGGGTTGTAGGTTCCATTCCTTGTTGAGGGCGTGTACTTTTGCAGATTCAATTCCCTGCCCGGTTAGGGCATGTGTAGGAGGCAACCAAGTGATGTGTCTCTCTCACATCGATGAGTCGTCTCCCGTGCGCGCGCTCCCCCCTCCCCCCCAATCTGTCTCTCCTTCCCTCCCTCCCATTCTCTCTGAAAAGAAATGGAAAATATATCCTCGGATAGGGTATGACATGCTAGTCATAGATAGGCATGACTTGCCTGTGCTAGTCATGGTTTACTGATAATCACATCAGGCATTACGAATGTTAATTAAGGGTCTGTTAGTTGTCTGCTATAGGCTTGGTGCTAGGAATATTGTCCTGAACAGCTTGGTCCCCACCTTTATGAGTTTGTAGTACACTGAGGATAGTAGGATGAATGAAATGACCTCTGAGTCTTTTGTTGCCTATATCAGAGTTGCTAGACCTAGCTTCAGGAAATCATTTTACTTCACTTAAAAACATTAGAATTTTTGTTTTGATTTCAGATCAGGTAAACAATTCTTAAGTAAAGGCTTTTGCTTTTCTCTTTGAAACTTGTCAAAAACCATAAGTCCACTTTGGAATGCCTAAATATCTCTTCTTGGTCTTCTAATGAGTGTCAGGTTCTTCAGTGGGCATTGAAAATTTAAATCAGAGTCAAAAATCCTGATGCTTTTGAATGGTGTAAAATGACCTATTCTATATGCAATTGGAAGAATTAAGGTGGAAATGGATTGTGCATAGATCTGGGCAGATGTGCATGTGTCCAGACACTGCCGAAGTGCTGCTCCTTCTTATTTAGTGTGTTTACTCTTCTGAACCTAGCTAGCTTAGGTTTAGCCAACAAAGCCAAGTTTCTCTTCTGGAAGACATGGCAGTGTGTGCTCTGCGGCATGCAAAACATTATCTCTTTCTGTATCAGCTGTCATCAAAAACTGGGCTGGAAGTGCATGCTGATAACTATCCCTAGCTTCCCTCCACAGATGGCATCTCTTCTTTTTTACAGGTGACTTCTGGCGGGACAGAAAGCATACTGATGGCCTGCAAAGCTTATCGGGACCTGGCCTTAGACAACGGGATCAAAACTCCAGAAATGTATGTATATGTGGTTGTGTCATTCCCCTGACTCCCCTCTTAGATCTCTCTGTTTGGAATGCTGCCATGTGAAACGCTCTGTGTGTTTTTAGCTTCTCTTCGTCTGGCATTCTAGTCTTTCCTGTTGCCCTTGACCCTTATCCCTTCACATTCGCCGAAATCCTAAGTAGATCAGCCTGTTCATTTTCAGAACGCCCCCTC